CGAACAACCTTCTTCACTTTGTTCTCTGTAATAATCTTACAGCCATCGGAGTCTAATGCACCCACTGAGATAAGATTCTTCCGCAAGTCGGGAACGTTCCGCACGTCCGTTAGGGTTCTGACCACTCCATCATGCATCTTGATTTTGATATCACCTAGCCCCACCGTTTTACAAGCATGATTATTTCCCATTAATACGGTTCCACCATCAATGCTTCTGTAGGTAGTAAACCACTTCCTATTTGGACACATGTGGTAAGAACAACCAGAATCAAGAATCCACTTCCCGGAGGTATCCTCGCCACCCGTGACGATATAGCATTCCTTATCGCTCCCTTCCCCTGAAGCGTAGCTCGCCTCTTCCTTGCCTTCTCGTCTTTCACTTTCTTCTTCAGTAGCCCCAACGTTGGCAAAAACCAGAGAGACTGTGCTGTCTTCCTGAGAGAATTTTTAAATCTGTTTTCTCTGTGGTTTTTGTGTGTGATTCACTTCCCAGCTTCAGTAATCTTCCTCTTTGCCATACGGGCTGTGTAAAGAGAGAGTCTTGCATCTTTTCTTCTGCTGTGTGAGTGAGATCTTGTGTAGATCAACTGCCCCTGAAGCGTAGCTCGCCTCTTCCTTGCCTTCTCGTCTTTCAGTCTTGTTGTTGTTCTTCTTCCCACATACTCTCTTGTTAGGACAATTGACTTTGAAATGCCCTAGCTCATCGTATTTAAAACACGGTCTTTCCGCAAGAGGTCTTGATTTTGATCTAGACTTTCCTCCCTTTCTTTTTCCTTTCTCATTGCCCCTTCCTCTGGCAAAGAACCCCTACGCTTGTTCTTTGTTACCACCAGTGGTCATATCACTAGTTATAATTTTTTGAAGATCATCTGCTAGAAGCACCGTTCTAGTCTCATCCATCGATAAACTGTCACCCACAAGTATCAGTGTTTGAACCAGATTCTCATAAGACTTTGGCAGAGATAGAACTAGTAGAAGTGTCTGATCCTCGTCTTCCACTGTCACCTCAATATCTTTCAAATCCGATAAGATTATATCGAACTTGTTGATGTATTCCCGGATTGATGAACCCTCCTCCATCTTGCAAGTATACAATTTGGATTTTAAATAGATCCGGTTCGTTAGACTCTTAGTCATGAATGTGCTCTCTAACTTTAACCATACGCCCGCAGCCATTTCCTCCCCATCCACCAAGAAAGCTACATCACTTTCAAGGCAAAGGATAATCGATGCACGTGCTTCCAGATCCAGCTCCTCCCAATCCTCATCAGACATATCCTTGTGCTTCTTCTCTTTTCCTGCTAAAGCTTTGTGTAACTTTTTACGAAATCAACGAGTTTTTCATCTGCATCCTCCAATAGGAGAAATCATTCTTCCCATTGAACTTTTCGATCTCGTACTTTTTAACTTTAACTGTTTTACTTGTTGACGCCATTCTCCGTTTGTATAAATAAATCCGCTTCTCTCAGGAATTCCAACAAATACCTTGTGTTCACCACACAATAATCAACCACCACCTCAGATCAGTAGCTCAACCATCGCCAATCTGAATAAGGGCTCTGATACCAATTGTTGGGCGCAGAGACACGCCCTTACGCCGCGGAAGCGATATCACCTGAGAGAGAGCACTGACTTTTATTATCACAAAAACACAAGTCAACCTCTATATTCTTGTTTCTCAAAGGAAACTAGAATAGATAGTGAAATTCTTATTTCTCAAAGGAAACAAGAATCGAAAGTGAGATATTTTAACAAAGTAAAATATACACTATTCCTCTCATCAGTTCTAGGACTGAAATGTCGAGGGAACCTATAAGCAATGGCAACTCACAGTTAAGACAATACAAATACGAGATTTACGTGGTTCGGCAAACTTACCTACGTCCACGGGAGGGGGGTTTAACTATGAGGAGAATACCAAACTATTACAAGTTCTCTCTTCCTCTTTCTTTCTTTTCCTCTCAAATTCAGATTTTTCCCCCACACTCCTCACTACCACACTACCTCTCCTATTTATAGGAGAGAGGGAAGAGAGGAATCAGCTCAAAAAATTGAGCTCGGAAGGAGGCCATAAAGGGGAGGGGGGTAGGAGCATGGGTTTGTACAGGAGAAACCCATGCTTTGTACTTCCACACACAACATGCTCCCATGTTGTCCCGTGTACAAAGCCCCCCCCCCTACTGACCCATGTACAAAGGCATGAGGGGCATTCTTTGTCCCTTGTCCTCCCCCTTTGTCCCGTGTACCTCCCAAGCAATGGCAACTCACAGTTAAGACAATACAAACACGAGATTTACGTGGTTCGGCAAACTTGCCTACGTCCACGGGAGGGGGGTTTCACTATGAGGAGAATACCAAACTATTACAAGTTCTCTCTTCCTCTCTCTTTCTTTTCCTCTCAAATTCAGATTTTTTCCCCACACTCCTCACTATCACACTACCTCTCCTATTTATAGGAGAGAGGGAAGAGAGGAATCAGCTCAAAAAATTGAGCTCGGAAGGAGGCCATAGAGAGAGGAGGGGGCAGGGGGTAGGAGCATGGGTTTGTACACGAGAAACCCATGCTTTGTACTTCCACACACAATGCTTTGTACTTCTACACACAACATGCTCCCATGTTGTCTCGTGTACAAAGCTCAAAAAATTGAGCTCGGAAGGAGGCCATAAAGGGGAGGGGGGTAGGAGCATGGGTTTGTACAGGAGAAACCCATGCTTTGTACTTCCACACACAACATGCTCCCATGTTGTCCCGTAACCCCCCCCCCCCCCCCTACTGACCCATGTACAAAGGCATGGGGGCATTCTTTGTCCCTTGTCCTCCCCCTTTGTCCCGTGTACCTCCCTTGTGTTCATAGATAAATATATAGAGCATCGGAAGCCTAATCATCTAGATAAGTATAACCTTCCTTTACTCTTTTATATAGAAGAGAAAGTTTGTTTAATTAACCTATGTTGATTCTAGGAATAATTCCCTTTATATTGTTGTTTTACAGTTTTATTCCTTTGCAACTATAATGGTGATTTCCACTTAAACTTCCTAGATGGCTGATATTTTTAGAATTGTATTCCACTACAACAAAATACAACATTGCCGACGAAATAAAAACGTCGGGAAAAGTTTAAAAAACGTCGGGAAAAATCTTTCCTGACGCAAAATGCAGCGTCGCTAACGCGTCGCCAAAAGTGCGTCAAGGAAAGTATTTGGCGACGCAAATACACTGCGTCACCAAAAGTACACTTTTGGCGACGCATCATGCGTCGGGAAAAGTGTATCTTTTAGCGACGCATAATATTTTGCGTCAGCAAAAGTGTACTTTTGGCGACGTATGCAGCGTCGGCAAAAGCTATACGTCGGCAAAAGTATAGCTTTTAGCGAAGCTATCTTGCGTCACCAAAAATATAGCTTTTAGCGACGCTTCACTCTGCGTCGCTAAAAGCTATACTTTTGGCGACGCAAGATAGCGTCGCTAAAAGCTATACTTTTACCGACGCAAGATAGCGTCGGCAAAAGTACAGCTTTTAACGACGTAGAGTGAAGCGTCGCTAAAAGCTATACTTTTGGCGACGCAAGATAGCGTCGGCAAAAGTATAATTTTTGACAACGGTAAAAAGTATAATTTTGTCGAGACTAATTTGCATCGCCAAAAGTAATATCTTTTCTGTCAACTACAAGCCTACACTGAACCTGAACATCCACAAAAAATTTACTCTCATTCACATCAACAAATAAACCAAACATCAAATTATACTCCAAACAAGTTGCATATTATGATAAACAAAGAATTTGCTCCCATTGCAAAATAATTACATTCATTTCCATTTCCAAGTCAACACTCAAAGGCCTGTTTAAATATTCCAGTTTGCCATATTCAGTGTTTTCCATTTTAGAGAATGACACATTATAAGATTTACAGAAAACTAAACTAAGTTGAAAAAAAAGAAAACTTGAAGTAAAAGAACGGCATGATTAGTGAACCTCTTCACAGATGAAGGTATATTCTCTGGTAGAGTTTTTGCGACTCTGTCTAACTCCTGTATTTGTTGCTTTGTAGTCACTCTATCAGGGCCACAATATGTATCCATAAGCTCTTTCATGTGTGGTAGTCTTTCCATCAGTTCTTTGATTATTTCCTGTTAGAGATGTTAGAGATATCAGTTTTTTGATTAAACAATCTTCTATACAGTTTAAAACAGAAGCAAGATTTTCAAGCAAATATCGGCTTGTATTAGTCATTATTAGCCAATATCAGCGTATATTAGTTTTGAGTTGAAAGTCTGTACAGAAATTAATTTTATCATAATAGTTCTATCAATTGATTTCTTTTCTTTTTTACTCCCTGCAACATAGCTGATCTGCAGAAAAGATATGATGCTCTGTAAGTGAAGAAAATACTAGTGAACCCTGATGTGTCAACAAAACATAAAGCAACTTTAAGATGCATACTAACAAGCTGATCTGTAGAAAAGAAGACTGACACAGTTGATTCCTGATGAATCCACCAACAGAGCAAGGTTAAGCCTCACCATCTACATCCTCTCCACTTGAAGTGCTTGAATGGGAAGATCTTTGCAGTAATTACACTGATATCAACAAAAAATAACAGGATCAAGTTTAAGAAGAGATTACATGCTACAACAAGAAGAAAAATTAATGAATTGGAGACACAAAATATAGAAAGGCCTAAGGTCAACAGTTAATGGTACAAAAGAATTTAATGTTTATGTTGGTTTTACATTATATTGTCCATTCCTTTTCTAATTTGTTTTGCCTCCTATTGACATCCATGCTCAACAGTAAATGGTATTTGTGTCGCTTCTTGATAATTATTTCTAGTGTTACTCAGATTTATTTTTCATTTTATTTTGAAGAAAATGTGTTGAAACAGAAAACTCATCAATTTGAGTTTTAACCACTACTAGATCCTATTTAATGCATAGCCTTTTATAGCATTACAAGAAATAAAACGATAGAAAAAGATAACCATGCATCCTCTTTATCTTGCCTTTTATAGCACACGCCTTTCATTATCCTCTTTATCTTGCCGTCCTGGTTCGCATCAGCATCCTCGAATGTCTGTTCACGATGACACAAGGTTAGAACAAAAATTTACATGAAAATTTTTCCAATCAAAGCAATTCAAGATAGTTTACTAGTAGTGCATTCAAAAACATTATCTACCTTATCTAAGATTAGCTCAATTGTGGCATCAGATACTCTTAAGTTCAGATTCAGATAGAAGCGCAATTAGCATCAGTTTGACCTGTAAAATAGAATTGCAGGTGTGAGAATATGTAAAAAAAATTCCCACATCTTACACATTTTTTAAGGCTACACTTAGTCGTCGAATTGCACTAATTATCCCTTAACATTGAAATGTTTTAACATTAAAATGGCCAGAATACCTCCTCTTAACATTTACATACTAATTATCCATGTATCATTGCTTAAAAAGATGATAAATATGGAATACACATACATACATACACAACATATAGACATACATATATATATCCATACATATATGCACAACATATAATCTTATGTACAGACAGCGAGCTTGGATAACCTTACCTTCACCAGCAGCGAGCTTGGATGTCTGAGATGGAGGATGCAGCGACCGAAGAACTGCTAGAGGGAATTTTCATGACACCAACCAAGTAGTTAATTATTTTATTTCAACTGTTACATAAAAAAGGGAAAACATTCAGTTCTTATTTTTTGTAAATCTCAGAAAATCGGGATGCAAAATCACAGCCAAAGCTAATTTTTGGAACTAAAACAACAAGAAACAAAAAACACTAAGCAAATACAGGTAATAACATACATGAAGCACAGTAAGTCCTTGCGACTTAAAGCACTTGTAGCAAGTTTTGAAAACATAGAGCTTGTTGTTTAAATTGAAATTAACAATGTCAAAAATCTTGTTATCATTCAGGTTTGGACAGTCAACTAAGTGTAGGCATCGAAAATTACCTATAGGTCTCCATGAACAGCTCAGCGCTAAAAAAAACGATGAACGTCACTATCCGGTTCACAGAAACTTGATTGATGTCGGTGAACATTTGAAGTGAATCGACGAACTACGTGAAATAATGGAGTTTCAGAATAACAAAGACACGAACCGATCGGGAACCTCGTGTCGCTCACAAACGGCGAAATATCCTTCGTGTCTCATTTATTCCACAGATGATCTAATCATTGGAGCTTACAGAAATCCTCGTCGGCTTTCCAACGTACTTTGAATCACTCAAATCCGAGTTCGGACGAAGAAATTACGGCGGAAACGGACAAGTACACGGAAAAGAGCGTCTCAGCCTGAGTTGAGACACCCCGAGGTGTCTCGGCACAAGCGAGACACCCCAAGGTGTCTCGGCCAAGGCCGAGACACCCAAGGGTGTCCCCCCAGCCCCTAAAAGTGCCTGTTATGCGGTTTTAACCGCCCGGATCTCCTTGAAGCCTATAAATACAGCCCCTGGAGCTTCTTTTTTTCAGATCTGGAATTTTGGAGATTAGACGAAGCCCTGCCGGATTGAAGACTGAATGTGCACGAATTTCAGAGAGGAGGAGGAGAGATCGGATCGAGTTCGTCGGCATAAAGAAGAGGAGCTCGTCAGATCTGCAGTTCTCCGGGTCCGTTCCTTAAGATTATCCCGTTGCGATAATCTTAAGAAGAGCAATTATCTCGCCGTTGCCGAGATAAGCGCTTCGGTTTCTTAATTCTTTCGCGAATCAACGAAGCTCTACCCAATTTTTCAGCAATCAGATCTGATCGACGGTAGTCCACGGATAAACCCCAGCACAGGCAAAGATCCCACGTAAGCAGAAGACCGATAAACGATCTCTGCGTTTGTTTGATAAAGTTGTAAACTTTTTTATTTTCATTGTGTAAGGAGATCTTATAAAAAGATCAACTTTTTATTTTATTCGAGTTTATTGTAACGACTAAAGTTGTAATAGATTTGATAGCAATGAAAACAGCAACTTTCTCCGCAAACAAACCGGCGACCACAGTGGGAGCCAACAGCTTCGCTGCCGAAGCTGTCATGCCGCAGCCGACGATCAAGATCCCAGTGGCTGAAAAGGTCGAGTACGAATTCGACCTGCATAAATTTGAAGAGTACATCTCCTCCTCCTCCTCCAGAAAGATCTCCTCCTCCCAGAAGATCCGTCGGTCTCCAGATCTGAAGACCTAAGAAGTCGATCTCCCTGTAGTCGATGCTACAATCGTACCTTGCAACGGTCTGCCGGCATCCAATGAGACCAGATCTGCAGATCTAAACTCCTTCGTGATCAAGGAGCCGACTGCTGAAGGCGCGCCAACTTTATCAAAGAGAGCACGTCAAAGGAAACGCCAACGCCTCGCGCATCAATTCGCCAAGGCTTTGGATCAGGTGGATGGACTCCGTTACCAAGCGGATTGGGAGTTCAGAAAGCGTCAAGTGACTAAGCTATCGCCACAACAAGCATCGGGACCCTCCTCCCAACCTCTAATTAACAAATGGGTTCAGGTCAAACAAACACGTTCTACCCTCGAGGAGCGCGTCCAGAAGCGCCATGCACTTATTTCGCACACCCAGATCCTTGTGCGAGAGGCACGAGAATTGCAGCGGGAAGAGGTGATCAAGAAATCACCAAGATCTAAGCAGGTTTGGGTGTCGAAGGCTAAGCCAGCGCCCCTACCCGATAAAAGACATCAGTCATGTCTCTCGGTCGATTCCAGATCCAAAGCTGGCTCCCAGCTTTCATCAAGTTCAGATCTCACTCCTTTTAATCCCGCACCTCCGATGAAGCTCCGCGACAATATGGACATATCCAGAGGCAAGAAAGTAATAGTGGAACGCATGGGTCTTTTGCACGAGGATCAAGGTAAAGCTCCAATCAAAGAACGCTTGGGCATGATGAATGAACCCCGAGCAACTCATCGAGTTGGGGGTCGCACTCGCCCTTCCAATAAATCAGAGCCTTCCTATAATGGGAAAGCTCCTATAACTGACCGCCTCGGACTGCCAGTCATTATCCAAGAGCCTGTTGAGGTCTCACGCTCACGAAGGCGTGACTCAAAACGTGCGACTCTTGAGAGCACCGACAAGACGACGAATCCTCAGAAGGAAACGTGTTCGTTAGACGACGACGTTATACCTGAGGAGTCGTGCCAGCATACGATACGTTGCTCCGGCAATCATGCCTATGAGTTGTACTATCGGACTGGGGGTACGAACAAATCTTGAAAGAAAGGTACCCGAGAAATGGACTCTTATTATCCGTGTACTAAAATTATCAGGGCAATATTATCAGCGTGTAGCTGCCCTAAGACCACTCCACAGAGGGTCTCAGTATTTGAAAGGATCTCCCCCAGAACGCCCAGGACCAAGCCAATGCGTTTCTGTAGAAAAAGTCCAACTGCGCAAGATGACGAACTTCCAGAAGTCACAGTTAATATGGTTGATAAGGGAAAGTCAACGCGAAACTTCAATCCTCGTCATCTTTCGGACATATCCTAACGTATAACTCGGTTACGGTCGGGAACCGTTAGACAAAGGGACTATCAGAGGATGAATCAAGGATTATCCTCGGATGATGAAGTGTCAGATGCTAACTCTGCAGTCGCTTCTGACAAAACGGTATCCAGCCTAGGTCAATCCCGCGAAGTGTTGATGATTAGCACAAAATAGGTCACTAAAATGGTTGAGGATGCCTTGGCCAAACAAAAAGAGAACTTCAAGTTCGAAATGGAAATAGAGGTCACTAAAATGGTTGAGGATGCCTTGGCCAAACAAAAAGAGAACTTCAAGTTCGAAATGGAAATAGCCATGATGCGAATGAGGGAAGAGCATGATCAACAAATTCGGGTTTTGTCCAATCAAGTCAGAGTTGAATCCAGCCGTCGCACCCAGAACGTCGCAATTGACAGCGATCCAGAAGTGGACGAAATCATCATGGCCGACGCACCTCCCAAAAATATTGGGTGTGGTTCAAATGCACCCCCTACAGATAACAACATTGGTGGTGGTTCCGCCAAAGATAATAACACTAGGGGTGGCAGCATTATTCTTCTCGAAAATTGTCCAAAACAGAATATAGATGAGGACGAAAAGATGAAGGATCTCAAGAGAAAAATTGACGCCCTGATGTCTGCTCGAGAGGTGAAGAAGACAGGGATTCCGTGTCCTTACCCAAGAGAATGAGAATCGATCCCGTATCCAGCAAAGTTCAATCTGGTCAACTTCACGCCATTCGACGGGAATGGCTCGCCCTCTCAGCACCTGATCTACTTCAAGTCCCATTTGGGTATGATCTCTGGCAATGAAGCCTTGATGGTTCGGTCATTCGTTGGCACCCTTCGCGGTCCTGCTTTCGATTGGTATCGCCGTCTCAAGCCCGGAAGCATCAATAGCTAGGAGGACCTGGAGAGCATGTTCCTCGCTCATTTCTTCGATGATGACGCCGAAGTGTCGATCAGGACACTCTTCGATGAGAAACAAAAAGACGGAGAGTCGGTGGATACCTTCATCAAACGCTTCCGCAATCAGGCAATGAACTGCAAGAATCCCGTCATGGAGGAATTCGTCTTGCAGACTTGTCATAACAATTTGTCCATTAACATCTTGGACATTATGGGAGTAGAGCCGCTTAATACCTGGAAAGAGTTGAAGGTGCGCGGAGAACAGGCCGAACGCTTTCTCAGAAGGAGAAAGGTCGAAAGAAACCAACCGATGGTTAACCCTCTGAATTCGAGTCTCGTGTCCCATGATGAAGGGATGGTACCTATAACAGTTGTTGACGTTAGTCAGACGTCGCAACAGCATCCCCGAAGACAGCAGAAGACTTCGGATCCGAGGCTCCAAAAAGAATACTCATTCAAGGACGAAGACGTTCCAACCATCTTCGAGACCCTTCTTGAAAACAACAAGATCAAGCTGCCACCCATCACGAATCAGGAGGAAGCTAACAATACTACGGACCCGAGGTACTGCGCGTACCACAGGAGAATCCTTCATCCCACCAATGCTTGCTTTACTTTAAAGAATAGTATTCAGACCTTGGTCGAAGCCGGCGTCATAATGCTAGGATAAGCCAAACGAGAACGGCAACACTCCGATAAGTATAAGAGTATAAACTGCTCCTTCCTACACTCCGACAAGTATAAGAGTATAAACTGATTCTCAATCCTCCGACCGGTATAAGAGGTTAAACTGCTCCCTGATACTCCAATAGGTATATAAGTCTAAACTGTTTCCTACCGTTGACGGAAAATTCCTGGAGAATTTTTATATGTAATATTCTTAAGGATAACCCGATCATGTAACCGAATGCAATGATAAATCCAGTTTCGCGAAGAAGCTGGGGGTAGATGATTCATGTAACGGGAAGTTCCCGAAAAAATACTATATGTAATTTTCTTAGGGATAACCCGATCATTACAAACAAAGTGATAAACACTAAACCCCCACTGTGATTTCCGAACACTCTTTTGCTGAGACGAGATTCGATCGCTTCGTTGGATCAATCTTCCCTCACAAAACTCCTATTGGTGTTTGACGACAGATCAATCTTCCTCACAAAATCCCTCACTGATCAAATCAATTGGCGGTGGGTCCACTAAAATTTCTATCCGTCAATTCATGGCAATTTTCAAAGCTTGACGTGTTAAGTCCTGATCACTTAACATCAAAATCCTCCATCAAGTGGCTAGTACAAACCAATATTTCTACTGCTACTTGTATTCCACTCCCTTTGCTTTCAGGTTAAACCTATAAAAGTTAGGGCCAAAGCCAGATTCCTCTCTCGATTCCTTCCATGAACGAGAGGTCCACTTTCAAATTGAGCAATCTAACCTATAAAAGTTAGGATTGTCTCCAACTTCACTTAGTCAAACCTGCAGATAATTAAGACTAAGATTGAGTTATCCCTTTCGATAAACGAAAGACTTTCGTCTTTTTCTTTTTCAGCCAAACCTATAAAAATTAGGGTCGAAATCGGAATTTTCCCTCAATAAATGAGGAACTCTTTTCTTGGATCAAGCAACCAATCCTATAAAAGTTAGGGTTACTTGAATCTTTCTGATTCTCGGAGTGGAGATCACACTCGTAATTTTATCTTTCCGGATTCTGGGGGTGGAGATCTCACTTCGAGTTTCCTTTCCAATTGAAGATAGAATATAAAATTCTTCCTCTTCGGTACCGGGAGATAGAATATAAAATTTTTCCTCTTCCATTTTGGGTTCGTCTTTATCCTGAGAAAAGACACAATTCTCAACTTCAAATCTGTACATCCTATGCACAGAGAACTTTATCTCGACTCCTAAATAGAGATAAGCTTACGTCTAACACACGTTGCTGGTTTAGTCTTTCACCGATTGAAGAAGACACCAGAATTCCAATCTGGGGAATTTTATCCTGAATCCTAAGAAAGGATAAGTCAACGCCTAATACGCGTTGCCGGTTAGTTCTTAACCGTAAAAAAAGGACAAAAGCCCACATATTCAACATTGTGGCAGGTTGTTATTAATAACGCCAAAATCCGTGCTTCACACGCACGGGGAAGTTTATACCGAAGCCTAAGTAGGGATAAGTCAGCGCCTAATACGCGTTGCCGGTTAGTCCTTAACCGTAAAAAGTACCGAAGCCTAAGTAGGGATAAGTCAGCGCCTAATACGCGTTGCCGGTTAGTCCTTAACCGTAAAAAGTAGGGATAAGTCAGCGCCTAACACGCGTTACCGGTTAGTCTTTAACTGTAAAAAAGACAAAAGCCAACATATTCAATATTGTGGCAGGTTGTTATTCATAACGCCAAAATCCGCACCTTAAACACGCGGGGAATTTTATCCCGAATCCTAAGAAGGGATAAGTCAACGCCTAATACGCGTTGCCGGTTAGTCCTTAACCGTAAAAAGGACAAAAGTCCACATATTCAATATTGTGGCAGGTTGTTATTAATAACACCAGAATCCGTACTTTACACGTACGGAAAATTTTATCCCGAAGCCTAAGCAGGGATAAGCCAACGCCTAATACGCGTTACCGGTTTAGTCTTTTACCGATTGAAGAAGACACCAGAATCCGAGTCTGGGAACTTTTATCCTGAATCCTAAGGGTAAGTCAGCGCCTAACACGCGTTGTCGGGTAGCCTATTCCCGTAACAATGACGAAGTCTATGTATTCGAAGTCGTAGCATCAAGTCTAATGGAGTTCATTCCTTTAGCACAACGTCATATTCGGAACGGATTTCAACAATCCGCTTGTTAGCCCGACTCAAACGGTAGTCGGTAAAGGCATATCAAATCCGTTGATGGCTGAGGATTTGCTAAAAATCCTAAGTCTACGTCTGATACACGTCGTTGTTTAGTCTTTTCATAGAAGAAAGACGAAGTCTACGTATTCAATATCGTAGCACTAAAAGGGTTAACTCTTTTAGCTTAACGTTACATGCGGAACGGACTTAAAACAATCTGCATGCTAGCCCGACTCAAACGGTAGTCGATAAAGGCTAATCAAACTCGTTGATGGCTGATAATTTGCCAAAAATTCTATAAATGCGAGTCATTGACGCACCATCTTCATTAGTTGGTCTCGTGACTTGAGCATCCAACAACTTCAGGATAAGATCCATACATGTAGATGAATCAACTTTCATAGTTGGTCCTGCAACTCTGACATTTAGGACCGCCATGCTCTAATATCTCAAGAGCTTAAACTGTGTATACTCCAACAAACGTATAAGTATAAACTGTATTAACGTCGGGCGATCCGAAACCCTAGGTCAACGTCTGTCAACGCGTAACCCTAGGTCAACGCCAGTCAATGCGTTGCGATAAAAAAAGTCAACGTCAGGCGATCCGAAACCCTAGGTCAACACCGGTCAACGCGTAACCCTAGGTCAACGCTAGTCAATGCGTTGCAATAAAAAAAAGTCAACGCCAGGCGATCCGAAACCCTAGGTCAACGCCGGTCAACGCGTAACCCTAGGTCAATGCCAATCAACGTGTTGCGATACAAAAAGTCAACGTACGACGTTCAAAACCCTAAGGTCAACGTCGGTCAATGCGTAACCCTAGGTCAACGCCAATCAATGTGTTGCAATGAAAGAGTCGATGTGACAGAAAGGGTCGGTTCTAAATCGATTCAATGACGCGAGCCAAACTCAACTCACCGGTAGTAAACTTGAGACTCCGAAGACGGCCAGACGATAAACGCAGCGCCGGAAGGACTTCAGCTATTCGTCAAAGCATCGAATAGACTGAAAATCGAAGGAGCCAAGAGTTGAAGCTAATTAAAGGTCCTTTACACCGATCGAAAGCTGGACCAATCACATCCAAAGTATTCCAGCCTCTTCTATAAAAGAAACGAGTATGGAACGCTTTGGAGGGGGTATCTGTAGGCATCAAAAATTGCCTATAGGTCTCCATGAACAGCTCAGCGCTAAGAAAAGATGATGAACGTCACTATCTGGTTCACAGAAGCTTGATTAATGTCGGTGAACATTTGAAGCGAATCGACGAACTACGTGAAATAACAGAGTTTCAGAATAACAAAGACACGAACCGATCGGGAACCTCGTGTCGCTCACAAACGACGAAATACCCTTCGTGTCTTATTTATTCCACAGATGATCTAATCATTGGACCTTATAGAACTCCTCGTCGGCTTTCCAACGCACTTTGAATCACTCAAATCCGAGTTCGGACAAAGAAATTACGGCGGAAACGGACAAGTGCACGGAAAAGAACGTCTCAGCCTGAGTTGAGATACCCCGAGGTGTCTCGGCACAAGCGAGACACCCCAAGGTGTCTCGGCCTCACTGAGACACCCTGGCACCCAGAGGTGTCTCCAAGCCCTAAAAATGCCCGTTATGCGGTTTTAACCGCCCGGATCTCCTTGAAGCCTACAAATACAGCCCCTGGAGCCTCTTTTTTTCAGATCTGGAATTTTGGAGATTAGGCAAAGCCCTGCCGGATTGAAGACTGAAGGTGCACGAATTTCAGAGAGGAGGAAGAGAGATCGGATCGAGTTCGTCGGCATAAAGAAGAGGAGCTCGTCAGATCTGTAGTTCTCCGGGTCCGTTCCTTAAGATTATCCCGTTGCGATAATCTTAAGAAGAACAATTATCTCGCCGTTGCCGAGATAAACGCTACGGTTTCTTGATTCCTTCGCGAATCAACGAAGCTCTGCCCAATTTTTCAACAATCAGATCTGATCGGCGGTAGTCTACAGATAAACCCCGGCACAGGCAAAGATCCCACGCAAGCAGAAGACCGATAAACGATCTCTGCGTTTGTTTGATAAAGTTGTAAACTTTTTTATTTTTATTGTGTAAGGAGATCTTATAAAAAGATCAACTTTTTATTTTATTCGAGTTTATTGTAACGACTAAAATTGTAATAGATTCGATAGCAATGAAAACAGCAACTTTCTCCGCAAACACTAAGGATTAAAGAGCCATGGGCCAAATGGTACTTGCCCAGACACAGATGGAGAATACTAAGAGAAAGAAACTCATTTCAGAGCTTCACTAGAGTTTGGCAATGATAAATGTAGAAACAAATGCACCAACTGGAAGATAGAAGTATGGAACACTTAATATAAATAACTTTAGCATTTCCTGAGGCTTCTAACTGGAAGATAGAAGTATGTAGGATTGCATATCAAAGAGAAAGTTAACTTTGGTATACCTGTAATAGGACTATCGACTGACAATTAAGTCACCAGAGCAAAACATATTGAGGCAAAATTAAGTTAACTACAGGTACAATAACATGATGACTTTGATGTTCTTATCCACGAGCCTCAAATCGACCCTCAAATCAAAACTAACAGGAAAAATGAGAACATGGGTTTCTCTTGGTTCGCCCAATTATAAAGAAAATCAACAAATGAAGACCCAAATCAAAAAATTTGAAAGTTTGTTGTGATTATATTACAAGAAAAAAAGAGTTAAAAAAACACATATGAAAGGAGCATAGCTTTGCAAGATCTGGAACCAGAGCTCGTACATTTTGAAAGGGTATATGAAAAGAAAGTGGTAAGGTTCTGCACTCATTCACCCATGGCTCAACATATTCCTTTGCTGTTGGTATTGACATAACAGAATCATCTGTAGAAAGAAGAGAAAACAATTACAAGAGAATAAAAGGAACATATTACAAGAGAAAACAATATATCAGGGTTTTGGTGCCAAAAAAATGTATTATAGTAATTCATCAAAGAAACAAACACATGTTACTCTGCCTAGAACTACACAGATGTGACATTTCAAGTGGAACAAATTCATACAAATCATCTCCTTTCCTTCTACTATGTCGAAGGAAGAGCTGGTATATGGAAAATAATGGATGAGAACAAAACTGACAAATATAACACACATGTAACAAAGTCGAAGGAAGAGCTGTTACGAACTTCAATGAATACCATGGAAATACTGTGCCCATTTGAGACCAAGGATCTTAGTTCATGCTCCAATTCAGACTCTGATGGAGTTTCAGCAACAGATTTCTCCTTTCCTTCTACTATAGTTGTAATTTCTCCCTTTGGATGTCGACTAGAGAATATTATATTTGCTTCCCCCAAGGTGCCATGCCAAAACTGTTTCCAAGATGATATACATATCATTACCAATCTAGAAATTAAAAAAACCATACGGAATTACAGATACACATCGTGATACTAATTGCACATAATCACATTATAAATCCATGTTAATAAACATAATGAATCAGTAAGCATGACCTTGCAAATCCATAAAAGATCTATCTAATAAGAGATATGCAATTAGACCACAAGGTAGATGGCAGTTGTCTAGTTTCCTCCTCTATACAATCAAAGTATTTATAATTGAATATTGTAACTGAAGTTCAAAGCTTGAACATCATTAAACAAATAAATCATGTTAATTCTACGTCCATTAAGGACCCCGGTGATGACTTCCAAACATTAAGGCCAATGCAACAGGCGCCTCTACTAAAGTTTTGCCTTTTAGATGCTAAACCATGTAGAATCTCAACAAAGTAAAGGAAAAGAATAAGCTTGAATTCAACATTGCTACAAATTCGTTTCCAGTATGTTTATGTTCACTCTTCTTTTATCTAAACATACACATTTAAAATTTTTAACAGAAAAAAGTTTACATTCTTTATGTTAGATCACACCCATCCTCAATATGTAAATTTAAAATAGCGTAAAGATTGAAGCTTTACCCATTTTCTTGAGCTCAAACACATCAAGGAGCCCTAAAATCTATATTCAGACAACATATCATAAAATTTCAAATTAGTACACAATTCCTCTAGTAGATCAGGTTGATTATTCTATCTACTTTAGGAGTAAGAAACTGTCTTACAAAATACATAGTTAAACATTTTACCAAAACCAATTTACATTTTTGCTATTAGCCTACTCCCAACCTCAAAACCAAAATTTTAATAACATACAAGATCAAATCCGTATGCACCTTATCGCATTCAAACACAACAAGCAGCTGTATTCTCTACATTCAGACCGCAAATCATTAACTTTCCTGAAAATAATGTGCGTGTGGGCGTGTGGGTGTGTTGGGTGTGTTTTTTTTTTTTTTTTTGGAGGCGGGGTGGGGGTGGCGTGGTAAAGAAGTCTTTAGTAAACAAATTTCCTCCACTAAGATAAGTTTCAGTTATCTTTTTAACTCCCAAGGTTACATTAAAAATATCCATTTTAACAGAACAAATTTACAATCTTGCTATCAGGTCATTCTCATCCTCAAAATCTAACTCACAATAACATGCAAAAAAACCGAATCAATATCCATTTTCTCGCCCTCAAACACACACAAAGAACCCCTAAACTCTACATCCAGTCCAGAAACCATGAACTTTCCCACGTTCACTTAAAATCCCCTAAACCCTGCATTCACAAAAACTAAATTTGCTTTAACAGGAAAAATCAAATCTGTATCAATTTCCTTGCCCTCAAAAGCAACAAGCCGCTTAAAACTCCTAAACCCTAAACTTCCATTTTGCTAATACACATTCTATTAAAAATAATAATTTCAGCACAACAAATTTACATTTTGCTATTAGATTATTCATTAGCCCTAAACTCCTCATTCAGAGAGCAAATCACGAACTTTCTTGAAATTACTTTGAAACCCCTAAAAAAAGCCCTAGACTTACATCGCCCTTGACCCGGAGGAACGGAGGTCGATGCGGCCGTAGAAATCCATCCCCGGCGACGAGAACTAGCGGCGCAAACGGCGGAGAGAGTGGTCGGAGATCGGTGGAGGAATCGGCCGCCGGCGATGGAGGAGGAGGAGGAGGACTGTCTGAGAGAGGAGGACTGTATGGGGGCGATTTTCTGATGAGAGAGAGAACGGGGGTAGGGGTTTTGGCTCTTCGTGAAAATAAAAGGGGGAATTTTCCCTCCTTGTACGAGTGGGGAAAATTTCGGGGGCTGGGGGTTTGGCGACCGCGGATAAACAAGGAAGCGTCGTAAAAAATATAACTTTTAGCGATGCCAAGGAGATATTTTTAGCAACGTTAGGAAAAGAATATTTTTAGCAACGTTAGTCTAATACGTCGCGATAAATGCATAATATTAGCGACGCTAATCATAAAACGTCGCTAAAAACTATACTTTTACCGACGAAAATGAAAAAACGTCGGGAAATCCATAACTTTTACCGACGTTAAGTTAAAACATCGCTAATAATATACACTTTTAGCAACGCTAATTATAAACATCGGGAAAAATATATTTTTTGCCGACGTTAACTAAAAGCGTCGGGAAAAACATAATTTTTGGCGACGTATTTAACCATGCGTCGGGAATAAGCATCGGGAAAAGTGCAATTTGTTGTAGTGTTCCTAACTCTAACTAAACTCTTACTAATAATACCTACTATTAACTAATTATGATTATTATCTAAACTCTAACCAAACCCTAAAATCGCCAATTTACCACTATCATCTCTCCTCCCTCCTAAGGATTAAGGTTAAAAATTGAATTAAAATATTAGGTTGTAATGGAGACTACAGTGGTGGTTTAGTGGAGGAAGGGGACAGGATTTTGAGTTAAAACTGTGAGCCTTTATTGAAAAAAAAAAAATCAATGGGGGCCACAAGAGAGCGATCCCCTCTCCGAGACTTCTCGGAGACTTCCACGATACCTCCGATCCATAGCCATAGGTTGCTACTAGGGACTCCCTCGGATCGCAAAATTCTCCAATCACTCTCTCTGCATCGTTAAAAACTGATTAGAAATGTTAGGGGCACACCCTCCACCACACCTCCTCTCCCTCTATAGTGCATTGAGCCCCACATCAAATTTTTTTAAAAAAATTTGATGTGGGGCCCAATGCACTATAGAGGGAGAGGAGGTGTGGTGGAGGGTATGGTTAGGGGTGTGCCCCTATCACCACTCAAAACTGATATAGTGGGGATACCAAGCTGAATAGCAAACTTTAGAGTTAAATTTTTCATAAGGGTCATTTAATAATTACAATATAATATTTTATTAAAGGTTTTTTTGGGGGTGGGGGGGGGGGGTTTTTATTAAAGGGTGTTCAATTTTAAAGAAATCATGTTTAAGTAAGCTGGGAGTCTACAATTATTATAATTGCTCTATAAAACAGAATGAACATAATAGAATATATTTTCTTAGAATAACAAACATAATAGGAATTATAGGATTGAAGCAAACAGTGATCGTTCGTTTTTTAAGAAAAAAAAACTATTTTTATTATGTTGTGCATTGTTCCTCCGGTCCCCTATTAATTACGTCAGCTTCTAGATGACTTATTACCGTCAACTTTTTCTCGTGGGTTTACGAGGTTTAGTCAAGCCGCCACCAAACTTAGACGATTCAGTTCGGTCAAATCTCTCATGTTTCCACGAAACGCATCGAAGTCTTCAACTAGACTCGGCCTCGTCAGACACTATCATCGCCCTTCGACTCTTCTATCCTCTTCAATCCTCTATATATAGCCGCCAACTCTTCAATCTCTCATCATCGATCGTCAATCGTCGTTTCCTTCGAAATTCATCTCCGATCTCTTCTGAAAATGGGTTCCATGAGGATTTCTTCAGCGTTGATGCTCTCCTTCATGTTCTTCTTATCTGGGTTAATAATGCATACGGCTCATGGACAAGGAGCAACTACTCCTCGGTTCGTTGACGGCAACGCAATAGATCAAGGGATAGCTTACGTGCTCATGCTTGTTGCTCTCCTCATCACATATTTTGTGCGCTAGGCGACCGTTTCATCTAAAGATTCTAAAACCCCGTGATCGACTTGGGGAGAGACCGTTTTATTTGTTGTTTTTTTTTTATTAAATTTAGTGAGCTTCATATATTCGGTGTAGTTCTTTTGCATCTCAATACAGATGTATCCTTGTAGCCATGGAAACAGTTTGGCTACCATGGTCCGTATTTCATAAATTTATTGATACTGGACGCCTTTATGCTGGTAGATGAAATGGAAGTTATGTACAATCCTGTTCTCAAACACATCACGTTTAACTGGAAGTGCATACTCAACAGATGTCATATGGGGGTTTAATTGCATATAGACACCCTGTACAATCTCCAAATTGAACTTGCTACTCCTATAGTTCAATAATTCCAATAGACCACCTGCGAGAGTTCCACTGTTGCAGATTGACCCTTCGATTGAAAATTATGGTTGCAGATAGCCCCCCCCCTGTAACTAGGGTCAGAAACACTCCCCTCAGGGGACCTATCAGCAACAATAGAACTACGCGGGTAATAAGTTCAATTAGGCGGTAATATAGGGGTCTAGTCGCAATTAACCCAAAAAATTTGACAAGATTACCACGGCACAACAACTAAGTTCGAACCGAGTAACAAAGAAAGAGCACATACATCCGCTAGAACATAATATTCCTAATTGACTATAGTATACATATGGATTGCCAACAACACAAGCACATTATACACCCAAAATTATCCATGTTGCAATTCCCCTCATTCGCACAGGGCATAACATAACAGCGATCGCTCTAATACCCCTTACTTTAACCAAGAATTCGGCAACACCCTTCTAGGTATCCAAACACTCTCAATGCGGATACTGTGTCTGTGTATCCGCAGCATGCGGAGCTCCCTGTTCATACCCACCATAATAAGGTTGCCGGAGTCCAAATAGATGTCCACCACCTTGAATTGGGTA